GTCATCTATATTATTTACCATATTTTTCACTTCTTCTTCTTCTTCCTTTTTACCTAAAAAATATCATATAAAGATTATTTTTACACCGACAATGATTCCTTATCTAAACTAAAAAGAATAAATTACAACAGCCAACCTAACTAATTTTTTCTTCCGATAAGTATAAACATAAAATCAAGGCAACCATTGAAACAAAAAAAAACGTAGAAAAAATGTATAGAAAGTCAGAAATGAAAATAGAAACAATTACACGAAACTCATTCAGCAAATTACTTAATTATTTTAGGTTTTATTGACAAATAAACAATCAAACTATAATTTTTATTGTGTTTGATGATCAATTTTTTGTTGATTGGAATAATTGTTTGATTTTTTATTTTAGGCTTAATACAAAAATAATTCTTAAAGAATGCATCCAAAAACGTTTAGTGCTTAAAGAATTTTTCGTTAAAATTGGATGCTTAAAGTTTTTTCAGTTATATTTTTAAGTGTCTATCGTTAAAAAACCGTTAAGTGACAATTGTTACGTCCAAATTTTTTTAAAATATATATTTAAAAAAAATATTTTTTAAAGAAAATATAAACGTGACACGTGTCACTTAATGCGCTTTTTTTAACGGTAGCCAGCTAAAAGGGTAACGGAAAAGGTTTTAGGCAATTATTTTTAACGATAAATTCTTTATGTACCAAAAATTTAATTTTGAGTATAGTTTAGACACTTATTTTATATTATTCATTTTTTATAAATATTTTCAAACCACTTACTAAAAAATTCGTATACTGTCATGATAAATTTGTTAAATTTTTTAATCTAATTTGTCTTTATAAATCAAACAGAAATATTTCGAAATTAATAAATTTTGTGTTTACTTTTAAATAGATGAGTTTACATAATCTAACACAATTTTGATTTCAAATAGGATGAACGGTGGTCTTAAATGCAATTAAAAAGAAGGGACCCACAAAGGAGAATGATACCCAGCAACCAAAGGATCAAGTTCCACGTGGTTTGATGTGGGTGGACTTTAACTCCCCTCATTGGTCCGAAATCTATCCTGCATACTCTCTCAGATATCCTCTCGAGATTTCTTCTATCCCACTTGTCGCTCTACAAATCCATCCTTTGATTCATAAACAAACACCCATACCCCAAATTGTCCACCACAAACTCCGTCGAGAAAATCTCTCCGATTTTGCACAACCGCAATGGCTGCTACTTCAGGGGCGGTTCTTAATGGGTTAGGCTCATCGTTTCTTTGTGGAGGAAAGAGAACCCAAGCCCTTCTGGGTGCTAAAGCCTCCCCTTCCTCCCCTGCCGTTGGAGCTAGGAAGTTCTCCGTCGTTGCAGCCGCCGCACCTAAAAAGTCTTGGATCCCCGGCGTTAAAGGCGGTGGCAACTTCATTGACCCTGAGTGGCTAGATGGATCGTACGTGCTTCCTCTTCCCTGAACTTCCATTTTTTTTTTTTGCTTCGTAAGTCTGGTGTTACTAATGTTTTCTTTTCAGGCTCCCCGGGGACTACGGATTCGACCCTCTAGGTTTGGGCAAGGACCCAGCATTCCTCAAATGGTACCGAGAGGCGGAGCTGATTCATGGACGTTGGGCCATGGCAGCCGTCGTCGGAATCTTCGTCGGCCAAGCCTGGAGTGGTATCCCTTGGTTCGAGGCCGGAGCTGACCCCGGTGCCATAGCTCCGTTCTCCTTCGGCTCACTCCTCGGGACCCAACTCATTCTCATGGGTTGGGTTGAAAGCAAACGCTGGGTTGATTTCTTTAACCCGCAATCACAATCGGTGGAATGGGCGACTCCGTGGTCTAAGACCGCCGAGAACTTCGCCAACGCCACCGGCGAGCAAGGTTATCCGGGCGGCAAGTTCTTTGACCCGTTGGGACTTGCGGGAACTATTCAGAATGGGGAGTACGTGCCGGACGTTGAGAAGCTGGAGAGACTTAAGCTTGCTGAGATTAAGCATGCTAGAATTGCTATGTTGGCCATGTTGATTTTCTACTTCGAGGCTGGGCAAGGAAAGACACCACTCGGTGCTCTTGGCTTGTAAGGACGTTATTGGTCATGTTTATGTAGATAACTGAGTTTTATGTCTCGAGTACGTGTAGTGAGAGAAAACTAAAACTGGAAATGGTGTTGTTTGTTGAGCTGATTCATGATGATCGTTCTAATCTCACTGATTAAATACACTACTACATATTCATCTAACAAATCCAAATTTACAGTAATTTTTTTAAATTCATGCATTTAATAAACCTATAGATTTAAGAAATAATGATAGAGTATTATATTTCAAAGTATTTTATTAGTCGATTACAAATATATTTGAAAATTTAAGGGTAAACTACATAAATAACCGTATAACTATGGTTTGAGTTATGAAATGATCTTCATTTTTAAATTTACGTCAATATGATTATGAAACTATTTAAATGAAACTATTTAAATGATTTCAATATAGTCTCGTGTATTGTTAACGCATAACGAAAGTGTAATAAAATTGATATAATTAGGACATGAATCCTCGTTATGTATTCTTGATATTGGAACCCTATTTTATTTATTTCCATTTTGGTCACTAGTGAATGGTTTGTTTCTTTGGATTTTCATTTAATGCAATTTGATCCTAATTATCTTTTTAATTTGTTTAATGCCTTAATTTGAGCATTAACTTTAAAATCTTTTATTCTAGTCACAATTAAATTTATAGATTAAATCTCTTAGATTTTAGAATTAATCAATTTGATCACCAAGAATAACTTTAATTCTTAATTTTTAATTAGGTCCTAATTTCAATTTAATTTATAAATTTATTTCTCCAATCAAATTGTGACATATGTCACAATCTGATTAAAGGACATTTTAATTTTAATTTAATAAATTTTCAATCCAATCAGAAGGTGACATGTATCACCTTTTGAATTGAAGTGAAAATAAACAAAGACATTAGACAAATTAAAAACATAATCAGAATCAAATTGAGTTAAATGAAAATCCAAGGAAACAAATCATATACAAAAAGAGACCAAAATGGAAGATAATAAAACAAAGTTCCAGCACCTCGAATACGTAACTTTAGAAGTGTCCTAATTATACCTAATTTTGTTAACTGCCACGTAGACACTTTCGTTAAGTGTTAACAACATGTGGCTATAATGATACCATTTAAATAGTTTAGTGGTCATGTTGACTCAAATTTAAAAATGGTAGTCATTTTGCTACCCAACTCATAATTATGTGATCATTTATGTAGTTTACCCAAATTTTAATTCTCGAACGTTATATAACCAGAACGAAAATTTAATGAGTTTGAAATTATATTTTACTACAATTTATCATATTTGACATTCAACCTACATCTGATTCGATACAATTATTCTTCATTTGTATTCATGTTAACGTGTATAGTGCATTTATTTTTTCAAAGTTGTTTGTTAAATATTTTTATTGTTATTTTTATAATTTTATGAATATTGAATGATAGCATGAATGAAAGGTTTTCGCTAAAATAGGCTTCTCTCTCCCGGACATGTTTGAATCCTGAACTAACGAATTGATTTTGCTTTTTTTTATTTTTGCTAGATTCAGGGTTTTATTACCTCATTCTCAAATGTTTGCTAGTCATACTTCGTCGTAGTTGCTGTTAAGATTGAGTGAGATCACGATTTTCATCTTAGGGTTTGCAGGGTATAAAATGTCAATTTGCTGTCGATCGATCATGATTTCATAGAGTTTTGATCACCGAGAGGAGGTGAGGTCGAGTGGAGCTTCGTCGACGACAAAGGGTGACGACCGACATGGTTTTAGGGGTTAAAATGAAGGTTTTTAAAGTTTTTGGAGTTATTTCAAAATGTTTATGTTTTTCTTTAATATATATATATATATATATATATATATATTTAATTTTAAATATATTTTTTAAAAATACTAGATTGTGACACATGACACTTAACGTAGAAATTAACGTTGTTGTCCAGACACTTAAATGAGTAATGTTTATAACATTATGTACCTAGATGGGTCAAAAAATAGTTTGACCTATTTAAAAATTTAGGTATAGTTTGGGCACTTATTTTGATATTAAACCTATTATAAATAGATAAAGTAAGTGATGAAAGCATTACCTTTTTTAAATTTAGTGACCAAAAGTGTACATTTATGAAATGAAAGAGGTTATTTTAGTAGTTTACCAAAAAAAGATTGCAAGATAATTCACATGATGTCCCCAAACTACTAGCTATATTCTAAATTAGACCATAATTTTTAAATATTCTATGTCAATCTCTAAAGTATGCCTCGGTGTAAATTTAAAACATTCAATGCTAATTCTCAAATTGCTAGTATCATTATATTTTGAATTTTTAACGTGTTGTTAGTTTTATTGGTTGAAAAATTAATATATTTTTAAAGGTTGTGTGAATTGAATCTGTGACCTTTTAAAAGAATTCACAGTACCTTCAAAAATAAATTATTTTTTAGAGGGTTATAAGTTCAATTCTTAAGATATTTAAAAACATATTACATTTGCCAACGAGTGTTAGCACAAGTGGTTGAGATTCAAGAATTTGAGCTTGTAAGGACAAATTCGAATCCTACCACCGTCACTCTTGGTGGGTAATTTGTAAATTCCTATGTAAATCCCAATTGAATCTTAAGTATGTACTGGCATTGGATTGGGGAGTCTCCTGTGACCTAAACTTTTTTGTATAAAAAAACATATTACCTTTTTAGAAAGTTGTAAGTTCAATATTCATGATTTTAAAAAATCAATAGAGTTAATAACAATTTGATGAAAGAATAGAAAATGATACAAAATATTTTAAAATTAAGGATCAATTTATAATAGAAGTTATTATTCGGGAACTGATATAGAATGTTTTAACATTTACAGATCAATTTGGAACGAGTGTCACAATGTGGGAACCTCCTCGGCAATTAACTGAAATATTACCTTTCTTAGACTCTGGTAAACAAAGAAAAATAAAAGCCAAACCCGGGCATAGAGAAAATTCAATAAGGGCAAGCTCTTGCCTTCTTCTCCCTATTTATTTTCTTTCTGCTTGCCCCTCCGAAGACTTTCATTTCCTTTTTCTTCCTTTCTGTCTCAGTCACTATACTATTCAAAGCTTTTGTCTTTATTTTTTTTCTGTTTTGAGGACAGAGGAAATAGTCAACAATTGAGGGAGGTCAAGTCTTGTACGAGCTGTGTGGTCTGTTCGTTCTTTTTCTTCTTGGGAATTTGCGTCTTTTGGTGGATCGGTAAGGGAAATTCAAAGAATCCCAGCTCATGATTTTTTATTGTTTTCCTGTTTGTAGGAATCTCAGGGGTTTTGCCTGTTCTGATGATCAAGATTTTTCTTTCCTTGATTATGCAGGTTGAGGGCTTCTGGGGAAAGTTTTGTTTTCTTTTTACATGTTTGGTTATTGCTGAAGAAGGTGAGAAATCTGGAGAGGGGTTGAATTTTATGGATAATCTATGTTGCTTCAACTCTGTATATTCCCAGGTCAGCTCATTTTCAGTTCAGTCCTTTCAATTTAGGTTGGTTTGTCATAGGTTTATATATGATTGGGTATCTTTGGTCGGTGATTTTTATTAGATTTTTGTAAGGGCGTGATCTAGTTTGGTTGTAGCTTTGACTTTATGCCATATTCTGTGTTTCTTTCACTTTGAGTGCATAGGCTATTGTATTTGTAGCTTAGATTTAGATGATGGAACATGAAATGAAATAAGCTTTTTGAGAATTTCAACTTTCAAATGCAAATTTCTTTCTTACAGAAAATCTATGGTTTATGGTAGTATTTGGCTTAGATTATTGTAGTGCATTGGGGCATTTTCTTATTCGAACTATTCGAATATAACAGGAAAGGGTTTTTTCCCTTTCTTTTTCCTGGTGAGAATACTGAAAAATAAGCTTGAAACAGCTCTGATGCACTTTTCTTGTAGCATTTTCATTTGTTCTGATGCTATAATATGCAAAATACGGAAGATATACCCCCTGGTTATTGTGTTTTTTTTTTTGGATATTGTGTTTAGAGTTCATTTAGGGTTGTTATTACCTGCCCTACTCATCATTTGTATTCCTTTTATCGCTAGCTTTGTGCTTGTATTCAGCAAATACTGTTGCATCTTCCTGGTTTCAATGGTTCATGATTCTCAGGAATCAGTTGAAAGCTTTATTACCTGATTCGGCTTTGAATTTGATGTCGGTCTCATGAGAACAGGTTCTTGTGGAAATTTTCACTTATATGGTTTGCTGGTATTAGAAAGGCGATAACTTGGTTGCAGTTTTTTTCTTCTCCTTTGCTTTCCTTCAATTTGTTTTTGGCTGCAACTAGATTTGAAGTGTCTGTGATATATTTGATAATGGGGATAGAAATTTTGTCTAGTAGATACGGTGGCTTTCATTTCCTTTAACCTTATTACATAAAGTGCTATCGTTTTTGCCTTTCTTTACCATGGACCTGCTTCAGTATCTCTTTATTGCATTTCCTCCTGTCAAATCATGTTTCCGATTCTTTTCAAGTTTCTTTTCTAACTCCATTAAGTATGAAAATTCGTAAAAGATTTTTTTTATCATTTAGGTTGTTGGAAGGCGTTCTTCATGTAGCTCTGGAAAGGGTAGAAGCCATCAGGGTCCTGTCAAGTATGGTTTCACCCTAGCAAAAGGAAAAGCAAATCATCCCATGGAGGATTATCATGTTGCCAAGTTTTCTCTGCTCCGGGGACATGAACTTGGGCTTTTTGCTATATATGATGGCCATTTGGGAGATAGTGTACCATCTTATCTGCAAAAGCATTTGTTTTCCAATATCTTGAAGGATGTGAGTTCTCGATTAATCCAATAATTTGTAGGGGCTTTGGATACCACGGTCAAAGAAGATTATTCCTGTCAGTTAAATGTCGCACTTGAAAGGAGCGTCTTTTTTTATCATGACCCCAACTTGTCTTATGCAATACCAACTTTCGAGCTATGTTTATTGGTTGTAAGTTGTAACTATGTCCTTGTGTTTATAATAACTTGTAGGAGGAGTTTTGGACTGATCCCGGCAGGTCCATCTCTAAAGCTTATGAGAAGACAGACCAAGCAATTCTCTCACATGATCCCGACTTGGGTCGCGGGGGTTCCACTGCTGTCACTGCAATTTTGATAGATGGGAAGAAATTATGGGTTGCCAATATTGGAGATTCACGTGCTGTTCTCTCAAAGAAAGGGCAGGCAATACAGATGAGTATTGATCATGAGCCGAACACAGAGCGTGGAAGCATCGAGAACAGAGGCGGCTTTGTCTCAAACATGCCAGGTTATTTCATAACTCTCCCGTGCTTATTTCTGATTTTCTCTTTCAGAGAAGTTAATATTACCGAGGGAAAATAAATAAGTTCACTTCGGGGAGGCTTACATCTTTTATGGCTTTCCATGCAAACTATATGGAGAGTAGGAGACATATTTCTGATTCTCTTTGTCATCAGTTTAGTTATTGCCTCCGAATGCAAATTGATCAGCACTAAAATTTTATATGATAATGAATTACTGGTACGGTTATCGATTGTTAATTTATCTTGTTGCATTCTTTCCCAGGGGATGTTGCAAGAGTCAACGGACAACTTGCTGTTTCTCGCGCTTTTGGAGATAAGAATCTTAAATCACACCTCCGATCCGATCCTGACATGAAAACTGTTGATATTGAATCGGATACCGAACTTCTCATCCTTGCAAGTGATGGGCTATGGAAGGTGATCTCTCTCTCTCTATGTTCGGAACCAATATTTTCTAGTTTGTGGCTTATTTTGTTCTCTTGTTTCTTGTATGAAAACTTGATCCAGGTCATGTCCAATCAAGAAGCCGTCGATATCGCAAAAAAGACCAAGGATCCGCTGCGAGCAGCTAAACAGCTAATGGCCGAGGCATTGAACCGAGACAGTAAAGATGATATCTCCTGTATAGTAGTCCGTTTCGAGGGTTAAACGCCAAACCGAAAATGCAACAGGAGAACCCTTCCGGGATCGCATAAGATAGGGATCAATGGGTAAACAGCAACTAGCACTCATTAAAAAGTGCATAATGCTGAAAGAAGTTGTAGATTCCAATCCATTTGGTATAAAAGGAAGTAAAGACGCCAATAATTCCCGGTTGATATTTGTTCGCATCGATGTATGGTATGTTATTTTTACTCGAATTATTATATTAAAACTTGTGTTTCAGCGAAGCCCCTATAGCTCAGTGGTAGAGCGTCAGTCTTGTAAACTGAAGGTCTGTAGTTCGATCCTGCATGGGGGCATTGTATTTACTTATTATTTTATTTGCGAGAAAAAGTGGATCCTCATTTTCCTTCACTTTCTTTCCTACCAAACACTATAAATCGCAAAGATTCATTGAACTTTTCTGTGAAGAATGTGCAAGGCAAATCTTGATTGGGTAAAGATTATACGATAAGGTTGATATACAAATGCCTTCATGATTGAGAGATGGATGCCACAGTCATCCCCTTGATAGATTTAACATTATTATATATTTTAATTTTTTTATATTTTTATTTAAATTTAAAATTAATTCACCCCTAATATAAATTTATATATCCGTCATGGATTGATTTGTGCTTGCATTTATATTCATGTAATTATGTGTTTTTTTAAATGTATTGCATACATGATTTTATTGAGTTATTTCAATAGTTAAAGGAGTGACATCCTAAATTTAAGTAGATGCGTTTGTATTGTCGATAGTCTTAAGAAATATTATGAACATATATTATTTTATAATTACTTTTAACTATTAATAAAAATGTATCACACAAGTTTGTTCTAAAAAAATCTAATATTTCACCTCACCTCACTAAACTAATTAATTATTAATTTTTTAGTCTAACTCAGCCAACTTATATTATATAGCGGAAGATATTTTTTACAAAATACATCTTTATTAGAATAACAGGAAAATGTATTAATTTGAGAAATATTATTATATAGATGGTAAAATAAAAAGTAATTTTCTATTGGATGCAAAAGGTCCATATTGAATCTAAAATACTTTATTTATTTTTAAAACTTAATTTTTGTCGTTAAAAGAAACAATTTCCGGTTGTGATTACATCCTGTGTTCAGCCCATTAAACCACCTACTAAAAGTGAAAAAAATAAAAGTAAACTATACGGATGACCACCGAACTATAGTTATTATTTTACCATCAATGTTTAAAAGCGATCAATCGGACTATCCAACTTTTTAAAGTGTTTAATCTAACCACTCTCCGTTAAAAAATTAACGGTGCGTCTGATGTGGCTTTTGAATAATATTTTTTATTTCATGTAGGATAGCCATAATACCACGTCAGAATGCCACATAAGCAAAAAAAAACTAACCCATTATTAAATGTAACCATACCCCGTTATTTCACAATTCCCCATTGTAAAAACCTTAAAGCTGTTGAAATAAGAGAAAGAAAGAGTGGCACGAAGGAAGAATAAGAGTGAAGAGAAGGCTGAAATCAGTACATGGGTTCAGAAAATGCGAACTGGGTGTGCTACTATGGAGTTTGTTTGACGGTAACAACAAGATGAACCGATGAAAATCTTGGTATGGGGTTTTAGGGTTGTGGAAATTATAAAAAAAAAGGATTAGGATTTGCAAGTTCTTTTGCTGGAATGATCGACAAATTGGAACAATAGAGCAAGAAGAAAGGAAACATAGACTTCGATGGATTTTTACTTTTTTTTATCTTCTTTGTGAGGGTGATACTGGGAATTATTATCATTTGACTGATCCTGACTTCTTTTCTTATCTTCTTTAGTTGTCACTAATGTGTATGGGATTGATTTAGGGTACTACTTTGATGTCAACTTTCTTGTCGTTTTTTTTACTTCTTTGTAGGAGTGATGTATATATGTATGCAATCTGTTTTGTAAGTTGAATTTAAATTTATGTTAATAAAGAATGATGACTTATTTTGTTGTCGTAAGAGTGATGTATTGATATGTATTGTAAGTATTAATGAAATGTGAAATTTGTAAGTAGAGTTTAAATCTCAAGAAAGAAAATATTCAAAAAAATATCACTCATTCATTTCCAAACCAATATATGATATACATCATTGTTTGACCAACATATATAAACAAAAAAGATATTGCCAAACCAATTTTACGAGCATATTTTATGCTATCAACAAGAAACCTAGAAGTATCAAGAGATCAAAACACAATGGTCAAATGCAATACTCAAAAGACATCAAACAAAAGACCTATGCTGCCAAGAGAATCAAGTATCTCTCTTAGTATTACCGGGAGAATGGAATCCTCATTCCCCCCTTTGGTTGGCCAGTAATCATATTCCCGATAATCTTTTATTACCAACAGTGGATTTTTTGGGGTATATTATCGGGAATGTGATTACCCCCTTCCCTTAGGTATTGTTGGATTACCGGTGTTTTGGACTAAAATGCCCTTAAAAAAATTTCTTTCAAAAATTTCTTTCAAAAATATCATTCTTCTGTTGTTGAATAATAAAAATTCTACGGAGGTTAAATTACAAATTTATCCTTAAATTATTTTAGATTTACAAAAAAGTCTATAATTAAAATTTTATATGGAAGTTCACGAGTTAAAATAAAATTTTACCCTTTCATTAAACCTATTTATCTTTTTAATTTTGTAAAAAAATTATATAAATTTTATGAATTTAATTTTTTTTAAAAAATATATAAATTAATTATTGTAATATTATAGTAGAATTCAACTTGTTAAAAAACAAATATATAATAATGACAATTTGATCAAATAAACATTCCAATAATCTTTTATTCTTTTAACCAAACACGGTAATCTTACATTCCTGCTAAACCAACCAAACACAAAATACAACATTTTCAGTAATCCTATTCCCTTGTAATTTTTTATTTCCACTGTTAATCTTACATTCCGTTAACCAAACACACCCTTATGCTTTTTTGGAGATGACTGATTGGCAGAAGATTCTTGACTCAAATCCACATTTGGTCTTTTAATGTTTTTCCTTTGTGATGACCATTGGTCTTAAAATTTGTATATAAGTGCCTCACACATATTCTATGTTCTGCATTGGGATAGAATTCTGCCACAACTTTCATTAACCCCTACAAACCAATATATATATATATATATATATATATTAGAAAGCATAATTGAACTGATTAAAAATGAACAAAAAGTTAAAAACAATAGCATAATTACTTTCTGTGTGTCGACCATGAAGGTCAATATGTCAGAATTATTCAACTCAAAATACGTACACAATAATTGTAAAAACCAACACCAATAAGATTGATTTTCACTGTCTATAACTACAAATGCTAAAGGATTAATAGAGTCATCTGCATCAATCACAACAACAACTAGCAGATGACCCCCATAGTATCCCTTTAAGTGACACTCATCCAGACTTATAATAGGTATATATGTAACATCCCAAAAATCATATTAGTGACTAAAATAAGTTTTTAAAACTTTGTGTCTGATTTTGAAAAATTGAAAAGTTCATGGACTTAATTGTAATTTCTTTGGGTAGGACTGATTGGAAAAGAAGGAAAGAATGAAGGGTAAAAAGGTCTTTTAGCAAGAATGAATTAAAAAAATCATTATTTGTATTATAAATATCCACGTGGAGAGTAAGGGAATAAAGAGAGAGAAATCTAGAGAGTTTTAGTTTAGCTTTCTTCTTCTTCCTCTTTTTTTACCGTGAGTGCTTGGTAAAAGGTAAGTTGCTCTCAAGTTGATTATTTCTTTCATTTTAAAGTTGGTTTTGATTCTTGGATTGTTAAGAAAGCTTATGGAAGCTAAAAGAGAAGTTGAAGCTAAAAGAGTTATAAATTATGAGAGATTGAATATAAGGGGTGTTAAAGTGAATTCTTGAGAAAGAAGTTTAAATGGATTTTTTAAGCCATATTTGACTTGTCAATGATCTAATTAAGAAGTTAGAAGTAATATAAGTGAATTAAGAACATGTTGAATAATTGGTGTGATTTTTCTTTCTAAGTGTTCTATGAGGATTGTGGATGATAAAGTGTGCTTAAGTGATATAAGTTAGTTTTAATAAGTATATATGAGTTTAATGAATTGAAAGGAGTTAGTATAGTGGAAGTTAAGTAAGTTTTGGAAAATTTTCGAGTAAAATAAATAAGTTATGGGCATGGGGTATCGGTAATGTTCATCCATTACCGATACTTTAAAGCTAAATGAGTATAATTTGAGCTTGGGGTATCAACACTAAAGGAACAATATCGTACCATAAGATAAAATTCGATGAAATATTTAAGAAGTATCGATACCTAAGGAGTACTATCAGTACTGGTTATGGAAGGTATCGATATTGGTAAAGGGGTATCGATACCAAGGGTCTAGTATCGATACCATTAGCAAGTTATAATTCCAGAATGTTGAAAGGGTATCGATACCGATGGGGGGTATCAATACCATAGAAGAGTAGTATCGGTACTATAGTGAAAGTACTGATACTATTGAGCTTGAAATGCTAAATTAAGTGTTTCTTTCAACTTAAGTTATATTGCTTGGTTATAAGTAATTCGAACTCCGATATTCATATAAGTCATATATTTGTGTAGATATCGATCGAACACAAGTTCGACGATTCGAAGCTATAAGAGTGTACAAGATTCATACGTGTTTGAACTGACTAGTGAGGCCAGGTGAGTGCATATTATATGGTATATGGTGTTTGATGGGAATAAGACTTGTGAGGAGTCTATTTATAATGTTTTGATTCTATGATTCTATGAATGCAAGCATATTGTTTATATGGTTTCTATGTGTACATGAATACATGTTTATGTGTTATACATTACCTTATGTGATAATAATCTACTTGAATACATGTCTACATGAGAACCTATGTGAAGTAATAAAAATGACCTATGTGAGTAAATGGAAAAATGAGATAAGCTAAGTAGCATTTACATATATCATAAATATAAATAATAATGCCCATGTTATATGATATGAGAGCTAGGGTTATAGTTGGCATGCCAAGATTCGAGGGTTCTACGTGGTTATTCAAGACATATATGTGATCCTTTGGAACATATATGCGATCCTTTGGAACATATATGCAGTCCTTTGGGACATATATGTGATCCTTTGGAACATATATGTGGTCTTTAGGGACAATTCTATGTGGTCTTTCGGGACATATATGTGGTCATTCAGAACATTTCTATGTGGTCCTTCAGGATAATTTTATATAGCACTCAGTGCAAATTATACAAACTGTGGTGACAACATTTGTGCACAACCTCAATGCACTCACATATCTTTAGTTCTC